AATGAAGAACAAAGCTGAAAAGATAAAAAAAAAATCGGTCCATATTTAACAGAATGACATAAGAAAATTAACTGCATTCGGAAAGAGGGCAAGCTTATTTTTAGTTTTGTTGAGTATGTTTTAATCATTGGAACTTGAAAATCGGGAAATATCCGATTAGGAAAATTACATGATTCAGAAGTAGAGTGTTTGCAAAAAATAAAGTGATGCGCGTGTAGTGTGCCGGATGGTGCCGGATAACTCAAATTTTAAGTTAAAGATTGTTAACTTTTATCGAGTGTAACACAAATATTTATGGTTTTCTCTATCGTAAAATATCGTAAAATGTTATTAACTTATTTATCAAATATGTTTTAAAGACTAAAAGAGGTTAATAATTACACGCATGTGATGACCTCTACATAGCAATATCAGGTTACGAGACATGCAGATGAATTGTTCGACGTGAGTATACTGACAAGATAAGCCAGGACCCCAGGCTATCACATGGTCGGTAAATGTCATTTCCTTGACAATTAAGTACACATACGGTTATTTCGGTATGTTCCATAATTACGATCATTCACGATGTTCCAAAAATTTGATCGGAACCCATGCATCCATAATTAAGACATTGTCGAGTTAATCAGTTAACAGATACTTAACGATTTTGCGGGAATCGCACTATAAACGTTTGAAGTCCGCTTGTTGGAGTTCCTGTCAATATAATACTTCCATGGGTGAATTAATGTTTTCTCGAAGACTAATCAGTTTCTGCTCTACTAATGGCAACGTCGTTTTTTCTACAAGTAAAATCCTGAGATAAGTCAGATTTGGTGATAACATAAACGAAGAAAGATGGAAAGGACTGTGGCTGAAGGAAAATATCTGTAGTTATTCATGCTAATTGGAAGTTGGAGTTGGTGTCATCGTACAAAACAAGATTCGCAGAGAATATTTCTGTGTTTCCTATGATAGATTTATATAGCCACTGCTCTTTTGAACTATCATTCGATAAAATAAATAACAAAAAACAGAAAGCGATGCTTTTGATTCACATAGAATCTTTCCTCCGTATGACTATGATGAACTCTGCCTGGAATATCGTGTGCGGCGTCACTAGTCAAATCGTTAAAGATCACAATTTCGAATCAGAACTAGGTCGATATCATGTCAATTTTCATTAATTATTAATTACGAATAAAAAAAAATCATTGCGTTTTTGTCATATTGTATAAGTGTATTGTGTAGTTTCACGCAACCCGTTTAAGCCTGTTTCTTTTATGCAATGAAGTTTCGATATTTTTTAATATCAGAAAAAGCTCTGTCGATCTAGTATTTAGTATTAGAATTTGTACATTATTAAATGTGATTGAAAAAAAGTCAAATTAGAAGATACACGTGTATTTAGTTTGGTAGAAGTTCATTTAAACTGTGTACGACGACTAATCAAGAAATCATTGTTTTTAATAGTATAGAAGATGATTGAAGATGAATATTGGCAGCAGAATTCCATTCTGAAATAAAAGTAACGTTTGCTCTTGGATTCATGATTTTTTTATTAGTTGTTATTGGCTTGGAACTAGTTTCCAGTAAATGTGAGTTCTTACAAATCGGTTCTTTGTGTCTCTGGTGTTTATGTGACTTGATTATTTTGCTTTGTATCGATCTGATGAGTCAAGTCCTTTTCAACTTATTTTTATAGTTTTGTCCTCTTTGTTGTGCTATTACACCACTGCCCAAGTTAAGGCGAAGTGAGGGTTAGGAGCCCGCAATATTATGTATGTGCCTGTATGTACCAAGTCCAAAGTCTGTAATGCAGTGGCTGTCGTTTGTTACTGTATATCATATTTGTTTTTCGTTTATTGTTTTTAACATAAATCACGACGTTGGTTTTCTCATTTGAATTGCTTTACATTTAATTTTGTCGGAGCCTTTTACAGTTTGCTAAGAGGTACGGGTTTTGTATGTTGTTGAAAGCCGTACGACGACCTGTTGTTGCTATCATCTACGTCATTTGGTCTCGGGTTAAAAGTTGTCTCATTGGCAATCATACCGCATTTACGTATTATATATTACTATATGTGCTTTCTTAGGTCCTTTTGTATTCCAAATAACACCACTTTAAAGAAAATTGCCCTTGAAATGCATTTATATATTATCCTCGTGATTTCTTTACACATACGTGTTCTATAAAAATAACTATAATGATTATATCTTAAATTTACTATAGACGACTTATTTTCTCGAGCGATGTATTTTCGCGAGTAGAAAATCAACGTAAACATGTGAATCTTAGATCTACTCGTATGGAAACAAAACAACAACATTAGCAAATGGCGACATCATATTGCCTCGAAATAGGATAGAATGGGATAAACGCAAAAAAAGGTTTCGGCGAAAATATTTTTTTAACAGTGTTTCAATAATTGTATAATGTCTGTTTATTTTTTGTCGTTACTCTTCCATCGTACACGACAGGAATCACAGAACTGAACCACGTCGAACATGAACTAAACAATGACACTACTGAACCAAGCCATGACACCAAATTTTCAGTAATCTTAAAATGTGTGCAAATGTAGCTATTTTGGGGAATAATTGACGACAGTTTTATATAATTACGAAGTATGTGATGTAACAGACAGTAAACACATCTTTCTATGCATGAGAAACGAATAAACAACTTTTAAAATTTGACATACGCAAGCATTATTCTGTATGAAATTATTAATTTTGTTATACAAATTTTAATGTACTAACATATTAGCTATAAACAAAGATAATTACCAGCCTGAATTTATGTTCAAACGTTCCTATAGCCAAAAAACGAATGTTTATATTCTGTCATTGTTTGCCATTAAAAACACTTAACACAATCATTTCCAACTTAATCAAACTATGACAAAATCACTGTACTAAATGCTCATCGATATGACGACGTTACTACCCGTTATGATACCTAATGAAAATGTACAGTGTTCTTCTGAATTAAAAGAGCTGAATTACTAAACAAAGTAAACATGCAGGATCAGATAGAATATTAGTGTGTTCATTTTATGTTCATTGTCAAGCATATGTAAGTAAGGGGTTATGATAGGGCGTTGGTATTTATTTCTGTATTCATTATGCCATTGTTCTTGTATATTCTGTATTTTTTTGCCCATTTTCTATCATTATTGTTTGAGCATCCGATTATTCTCTATTTTTGACATTTTTCAATCAGTCAATATTTGGTTAACACATCCAAACCTCATATGTAGTTTTGTTTAATGTTTATGAATCAAATAAATATAAGACGATTTATTTCGAATGAAATTATTTATATCTAAATAAACATAAAATTTCTAGAATACTTTTTCCAAACAAAATAATGCTAATCATTCAACTTCAAACAAGAACGCCGCATTATCTACATTTGCCACTAACAATTTATTGGTAGATGTGTTATAGTGCAGAACCGCTGGGTAAATCAGTCCATATTCACGTGATAAAAGTTGTCTGTAGCGTTGTCCATCAGGAGAGATGACGACCACATTGTGAGTATCACGTCCCACTACAAACACGTTACCATTATTGTCTACAGAGATACCGAGTGGATACCTCAAAATACTTTTATCACAGACCGTCCACAGTATGTTACCATGGTAATCACAACAGGTTACACTGTGATTGTTATAGTTAGTATAGAACAGTTTGTCACCGAATGTTGTAACGTACGCACAGTAAGAAAGTTTGTTATTCATAACATTGGTAATGTTGGTAATGGAATCATCACTTAGACTTATCATCTGTAGTCCTTTCTCCCCTGCACAATAAATCAAATGTCCATCTTTGTGTACTACTCCGTCATTGTATGAATTTACGTTTAATGTTTTTTTCAGTTTTTTATTCTTTGTGTCGATTATACTTATCTTTTTTGAATAGCCAGATGTAACTGCTATAAAATCATCACCAATAAATACCAAATCGAAGGTATCTTCGGCATTATTCATTTTAAAATCGTTTGAACCATCAGATTTGAATACGCTTATTTTCTTTTGGGTATAGCAAGAGAAAATCATCCTACCACCAGGGAGCATAGAACAGCCTCGGACATTTGACGATCCTGTATTGATACGTTTCTGTAAGGTCAGAGTCAGGTTATCGATATTTCTGGTTGGAAGAGTTGCCGTAATCTGGGCTTGTCTGTCCTTCCGTTTCCGAATGGACAAATCACATCGAACAGAACTGATACTAATTTCTGCAAAATTCTGAAGGCTCTCTGTGATTTGCTGTAAAGACTTGTTTATTTGATATGAAATATTGACTTGATTTGTGGCGTCACTGTCCGTAATCGACCGAATAAATTTTTCTTTGACCTTTAAATCCTTTTCGATATGTTTAATTGCCAAGAAGGTTTGAAGTTCGGATGCATGCTGTTTAATATTACAAATGTTTGTTTGGTATTCTGTGATCTCTGTTTCCTTAGTTTTTAAAGTAGCCAGCAACTTTTGTAGTTTCCTGCTTTCTGTTTGTTCCGCTGCAATTAATTCCTTCATTATTTCATCTTGAAGTTTATCTAGGCGAGTATTTAATTTGGTTCTAGTTTGTTTGATTTCGGCTTCAATTTCTCTTCTCTTGACTTCCAGTGATTTTAAATTGTCTTCACGGTTGGTACGGATTCGCCTAACATTCTCGGCAAGTTCCAATATATTTTGTTCGATTTCATAAAAGGCATTTGATGTTTTGACGTTTAATGTGATTTCATTGATGTCGGTTAAATCTTTGCAATCGTTATGCGTTTTCACACATTTCTTGCAGCACGGGCAGTCGTGTTTCCTGCAGAAAAGTTCATATTTCTCGTTATGTATTTTGCAGAACTGGGCGATTTGGAGAATTTCTTTCGGTAATTTCTTGTATTCTGCGATGGAAACGGTTTCGTGTTTTCTTGATGCCTTGGAAATACTGTGGTGTTCGCTACAATCTCTACAAAGTCCTTCATCACATTCGGAACACCACACTACTGGTGGCTTGGTAACCTGACGATAATCACAGACACCACATTTACTCCAATTACTGGCCATGTTCCTGTAAATACATGAAAACTGCTTAAACTAGTATATTATATTGTATTATCGTATGCGTTAAATATCCTTGCTTGCCCTTCCGGAGCACCTGAGATCACCCCCTGTTTTAAGTGGGGTTTATGTTGCTCAGTCTTTAGTTTTCTATGTTGTGTATACTGTTGTTTTTTTTAGCCCTTTTCTGTTTTCCATGGCGTTGTCAATAGATATAGTAAGATGTGGTATGAGTGCCAATGAGACAACTCTCTATCCAAATTTATAAAAGTTAACCATTATAGGTCACAGTACGGTCTTCAACACGGATCATTGGCTCACACCGAACAGCAAGCTATAAAAGGCCCCAAAAAATTACTAGTGTAAAACCATTCAAACGGAAAAACCAACGGTCTAATCTATATAAAAACGAGAAACGAGAAACACGTATGAACTACATCAACAAACGACAACTACTGTAATCAGATTCCTGACTTAGGACAGGTGCAAACATTTGCAGCGGGATTAAACGTTTTGATGCATTTTGTTCAGTTTATTTTGGACTTATGAGTTTGGAAGTTCCTTTGTTATGTTTCGCCTCTCTTTTGCAATATTTTTTAAGGAAAAATTTCTGGCCATATTCAACATGCCCTCGTATTAAAGTTGCAGAGCAAATTTCTACTTTTCGCCATTTCTGATATGTAACCTAACATTATTTTATATAAATTTTTGAAAAAATTAGAAAGTAAATATATCTCCATTACTTACTTTTTAACTATTCTAATTTATTTTATACAGTAGTTCAATAAACGCCAAAGGTCTTTCGGAGTTCGCATGGATGTCCGTTTGGAAGTTAGATATTTAATGGCTAATACTGCATACATAAACATAAGAAGATGTGGTATGATCCCAAATGAGACAACTCTTCACCAGAGATCAAATGACATAGAAAAATAGGTCACCGTACGGCCTTCAACAATGAACAAAACCCATACCGCATAGTCAGCTATAAAAGGCCCCGACTGAATGACAAATATAAAACAATTCAAACATGAAAATTACGGCCCTATTTATGTTCAAATCAATGAACGAAAAACAAATATGTTACACAGGAACAAACGAAAACCACTGAATTACATTTCTTTAAATTAGGATAAGTACTACAAAGTTCTTTTATAAATGTATTTATATAAGTTTCTTATTTTTTACGTGTGAGGAGAAAGTGGATATCATCTTAGTTCCATAATGAAAACAAATTAATTTATATTGATTTAGGTATTTACGACTTTCTCTCGCTTAAATTGCTTGTTGAAATGTACCTTTAAATTTTTTAATGTGTTTATCTGATAACAGCAAGAATAAGAAGAAGAAAATAATTGGGATTAAACAAACTAAATTTCTGAAGAAAAAACTTTTCCTGAATTTGAAAAAAAAATAAAAAGTTGATAACGTCATCGTGTCTGACACCAACAAAGCACATACTTATTCGTTCTAGTACGGACAGCCTTTTTTTTAAGATTCATTTATTTTATAGAAAAGCAGTGTAAGTATAAAAATATAAGGAGACTTGTCGTAGGGAGCGACAAAACCATGATCTGAAAAAAAAATAAGGAAACTTATCGTAGGGGAGCGACAAAACCATAATCTGAAGAAAAAAATCAGACAACAGTCGGAGGAGATTCAATAAGAACATTAATCAAAAAAGTCAAAAAGGAACCTATAATGAAAACAAGATAAACAATATATTAAAGCCTTTAACCATCGTTATCAGGAACATAGATAAAGACGGCACTAAAACGTGTTATGTTTTTATTCATTTGCATTTTATGAACATACTGCATTTAAAAAAACATATATTAAGAAGTTCATTAAATAGATTACACGTTATTGTAATTTTAAGTGGGTTAAAATACAATATCGATTAATGAATACGGTACATTTGAAGTTGAGGTCGAGGCTGGTGATTAACTAATACGAAAAAACTAAATATCTGACAAGCATAGATCAAAATATTGTTGCTTTCAAGTTTGAATCTAAAGAACATTGTCTGATTTTTTTATTCATATAAATTAGGTCAATTGGTCGTATAAATGGAAGGAAGTAGTACTATAAATATATGACTTATTTTTATCATAACAAAACGAAAGTCTGATATATGATCAAACAGACGATGTAGAAATAAGTACAAGTATATAAAAAGCTACGTCTATAAATGATGCATGTATATTATTTCTTACCGATATTATTATGTTAACCAAGGAAACAATTAGATTACATACCATGAAGTTAACGCACCATTTTCGACATACGAGGAAGGTAAATGGTCATGTGATATCACTATTCAATGTTAAGGACAAATTTTTTACTTTATCTTTAGTGTAATTTGAAATATGAAATTTAATAGAATATACTTTAAACCTTTATAAGTTCCGAATTTAACCTTATCATATTGCTGTTTTAAACTCGTTCTAAAATTATGCTGGAAACAATTAAACATGCCAAAACTATGGTGTTAACGCCTAAAATCGTATTCTTAGACTATCTAAGTAATTACATCAATTTGAAAATAAAAAAAAATCTGAATAATCAAATGACATTCAAATTTTATAAGCCGAAGGTAATACACAAAGTCACGATAATAAATCACATAGGGATTAAGTTGTGAGTGCACTCAAATAATTGCTTCAATTCATGTATTTTTAACCTTTTTATTGTGTTTTTACTATTATATATATACATTTTCTTTGCATCAGGTTTTTTTATTGTATGACATGCTCCTTTCAAACCAACTAGACAATCGCTGGAAATATTTGTTTGCGGAATTCTATAAACTTTTATAAGCCAAACAAGTAAATCTAGGGACATATACAGGTCTCCAGTAAAGCTAAGCCTCAACAAATAAATTAATCAAACAAATATGTTTAATCTTATTTTGCAAAATATAACTTTATCTTTAAACATAACAAACAATAAACAAATGATTATAGCAAAGAAATGAACCATAAGGTGAGATTTCAATGCGAAAAATATTTATCAAACCTATATTGTTGCAACTTGGTGTGGTTTTTAGTTTTTTACCAAAAGTTTTTTCAATGAAAAATATGCTGCTAAACTTTTTACTCAGTATATTTAACAAAAACAAAAGCTGTGAATGCAACAAACGATTACATAATTCAATATCACTGAAACCGACATTCTTTTCTCAAACTAATTGAAATTAGATCTGTTCACTTAATCACATTTTTAATATATATCTTTATTCTTACAAACCAAATTATAAAGGTATAGAAATAAGCTTGTTCAGTGCATAGAGCGACCAAGCATGAAAATGACAGCCAGTGCGTTAATCCAATTTTATTTATGTTGTTATATTTTTAATAACTACCGGGCAAGAAAGTTGTTCTTCAGTAACTTATAGAATGAATTCACAATTATCGTCATTACTTACCCAGAATGCTGTTCATTTTACTTCTTTTAATTGTAAAGATAATGTCATATAGATACCAAAACCTTATTATGAATTATTTTGATATTTGTATTTGTAGTTATTTTCATTTTTTTTTGTATTCTCATATTTTTATTTATTTAACTATATATATTTTTTTTTATTTATTTAGTTATTTATTCATTTATTTATTTATATTTTAAATATCATGTTATCTCATCTAATATTTTTTTATGCATGTTTTTAACTTCTCTGTAACCTATGTACTTCATGGTTTTATGAGAATAAACTATCTATCTGTATTTGTATTTGTAATACATTTGAAGCAGATTGTCTTATTACATTTAATATAAAAATAAGAAGATGGGATATGATTGCAAGACCGAATGACGCAGAAGCTAGCAACCATGGGTCATCAACAATGAACAAAACCATCTTATGTTTCATCTAATTCTGCTCCGTCTGGATGACTCATGAAATAAGAAGAGATTTATGTTGCTATGGTTATGTCATTTACTAAACTAGACATTTTTTATCTGATCATGAAGAAGATTCTTTAACATGATCAAAGGACTGTAACCAGAATAACTTGTTAAATATTTTATTTTCCCTTTTCCGTTCTTAACTGATAAATGAACTTTCATTTTTACTGTTTAAATTAAGGTACAATCCGGAGTTCAAGTATTTTGAAAAGCAATAATTTATTTCTCAAGCCTGCATAGAATTTCATTAAACTTTGAAATTGCCACTGGACGTTAAGCAGTCAACAATCAATCAATCGTTAAACTTAAACAGCAGATTTGTCAGGATCAGTAAATAAAATCTGACGCAAAACTTGGAAAAAATGTGGTATTCTTTTATATTTTTCAGTATTTTCAACTGATAGATGGACCTGTTTTGCATTTAAGTCATGTCTACTTCATATCTTCTGAATGGTTATGATGGGAATTAATGATTATATTTGATATGATTGTTGCCATCTGCCGGTAGGTGTGTTATAAATAAGGCTGGAATGTCTGCAAGGTCAAGGTCAAAAATGGCTTTAGATAGTCATAGCACGGAAAGAACAGTTTATGCAATAATAAGCATACACAAATACCAGAGGACTGGTTTTAAAGTCTGCGAATTTTACACTTTTTACTTTCGATCGGTCGTTTTGGAATGTTAAAATTCCTAACCAGCAACTTAGTGCTTTAAGTCGGACAGACTCTATTTCTTATTAGAATTACACTTTGTGAAATGGTTTACAAATTTCATGCGACAAAATCAAAATTTCTAGGAAATTTTGATGCCAACCTTTGCGTCAGTTAAAATTTTAGTCTAGAATATTTCTTTGCTGGGGTGGGGGCACGGGAATAAGTTGCAAATGGTACTTTGACCTTATTGATTTCCTTTATTTTTTTTATAAATTTATGAATTTTTAACTATTTTATTCGTCCTATATCATACACTCAGTTCTTATGTATACCCGTTTGATGACACTGATAGATGATTAGAAGTAAGTAATAATAATTATAATGGTAATCATCCTTATCATATACTTATAGCAAATAACATATAATTTTTACAGTATGATAACAGCATTGGATTTACGCGAATTCCATTTATAACCGAAATGGTGTTTAGCGGGCTGATATGAAAAATTTATCACATGCTTCGATTATTATCACATGCCTTTCCGTAACGTTATCGCACATGGCATTCCGGCGATACTCGGCAAATTCCGGAAAATACACCTCAATGGTACGTTTAAGTGAAAAAAAAACATTACAATTAAAGTAGAGTACAAAACGATTATTACTATACAGAATAATATATTATGTAAAATAAAAAAAAATGTTCAAATAAATGCATTTTAAAAAGTTTCCAGCATAATTTAGAAAGTTACTTTACAAATGTTTTTACAAAATTTTCCAAACAGTGTTCATTATGTTTTGTTGATTTTTTTATCGTCAGTATAAAAATATATCATGCTCTTAATTTTTTCCCTCTGTTGAGGCATATGTTAGAAAGATTTCATATCGGATGTACTACATTTGGCGTCCGACGTCTGTAAACTTTTCACTTTTTAAACTTCTACGTGAGAACAACTAAAAAGGATCAATATGTTAAACTGTTATTTTTCTCTATTGTTGAAGCATATGATAAAAAGATCATAACATGTCATTTTTCATATCAGATGTATTATCAGCCTTCGGTCAATATCAGCCCTCGAGCCTTCGGCTCTTGGGCTGATATTAAACCTTGGGCTGACAATTCATCTGATATGAAAAATGCCATGTAATAATCTGATATTATCACACACATCTTCAAATAGACTGTCCATATGCAATGAAATTATTAAGAGATTAATGGTGTCCGTAAAGTTAAGGATATATGTATCCGTATATTACTAAAATGTGCTATGATCAAACAGATTACATATGTATCCTGGTCAGTGTTTAAATAAGGATAAACTTCTATGTATGTATAATTAGAAAAGTTCATTGTGACCAGTTGCTTAAAACAAAATGTAAGTACATCTGGAAATTCAAGTAATTTTAAACTTTTCCGAAAAAGAATTGATAAAAACAGTACAATTTACTCTTGGAAGTTAATAGATGCAGTTTCGAATATAATTAAGAATTTAAGATATCCTATATGTTTCCCTTTAAAAATTTATTCATATACAAATTGGAACACGTGGTATGATTGCCAATGAGGCAACTATTCACAAGTTATCAAATGACATGAATGTACTATATATATATATATGTAGCTTTTATACAATATAAATTTAGGTCACCACACAGCCTTCAACAACGAGCAAAACTCATACCGTATATATAGAAAACTATAAAATGCTCCGACATGACAAACGTTTTTTTTTTTAAATAAGCGCAAACAAATACCAAAGGACTGGTTTAAAAGTCCATGACCTTATTGTACCAACTTTGCCCTTTCTATTTCGATCGGTCGTATTTGGGTGTTAAAATTCTTAACCAGCAAGTTAGTGCTTTAAGCCGGAGCTACTCTATTGTTTTATTAAAATTACATTTTGGGTCGACAATAAGTGCAATGACATTACTGAGAAATTAATGGTGTCAGTGAACTAAAGTTAAGGATATATGTGTCCGTATATTTCTAAACTTTGCTATAACTAAACAGATTGAGTTAAGCTATTTCAGTTGATATTTTATAGTGTGTCTTTCTATGTTGTGATGTTACACTATTGTTTCAGAAAAAGGGTGAAGGTTTGGTACCATTAAAACGTTTAAACCCGCTGCATTTGTTTGCACCTGTCCTAAGTCAGGAATCTGATGTTCAGTAGTTGTCGTTTGTTGATGTGGTTCATAAGTGTTTCTCGTTTCTCGTTTTTTATATAGATTAGACCGTTGGTTTTCCTGTTTGAATGGTTTTACACTAGTAATTTTTGGACCCTTTATAGCTTGCTGTTCCGTGTGAGCCAAGGCTCCGTGTTGAAGACCGTACTGTGACCTATAATGGTTTACTTTTATAAATTTTGACTTGGATGGAGAGTTGTCTCATTGGCACTCATACCACATCTTCTTATATCTAGATTATATATTTTTCGTGGTGTTTTGAATAACTTAAAGGATAAACTGCTATGTATGTATATCTATAAACTTTCATTGTAACCAGTTGCTTAAATCAAAATGTAAGTACATCTGAAAATTCAGGTCATTTTAAACTATTTTCTACGAAAAAGGATCGACACACAGCTGTACAATTCACCATTGGAAGTTACATGCAATTTTGAATACAAGATATTCTGTCTGTTTTAAATATGAAGATGTGGTATTATTGCCAATGAGACAAACATCCACAAGAGACCAAATGAAGTATATATAGGTATGTTACTATAGTACAATATAAATTTAGGTCACGGCACAACCTTCAGCAATGAGCAAATCCCATACCGTATATTGCTCCGACATGATAAGATGGGAAACAATTCAAACGAGAAAACCAATAATATGTACAGGCACCTGTCTATTGGTGAAGACTTCTATATGGATTTGTGATTTCCGTCGTTGGGTTGCTGTTTCAGTGATATATATTCATGATTTTTGTTAAACATAATTGACTTTTTTCTTTGACAGTATGGCATCATCACTGCTTCTTGTCCTGATAATTCTTGTCAACGGATTACAAAGCAATCAATTTGAGCTCAATAACAAAGACGATGTAACTAAGCCAGAAAGTAGCTTGAACGTCGAACAGAACTCTGAATCAACAGACATTGTCATCAAACTTCTACCAGATGGCACTGAAGAAGATATCCAGGATATTCTATCTAGATATCCTAAGTTCAAACTGTCAAAACAGGTAAAGGCAAATGATAATGTGTTATTTAGAAGCTTAGAATGGATTTATATAAAAAAGTAGATAATTTTCACGGGTTGAATCCCTTTAACTCGTCTACCGCATTAAAATGTTGGTCGGATTTGCTGGTATAATGATTGTGGTATGAATAGAAAATCAAATGCATTTTTTTCTTTCTTAGAAGTGGTGAGTGTTATACGACCAATGGCCATCGTTCTGTATAAGACATGCGCGATAACATCGGGTTAGTGTTATACGACCAATGGCCATCGTTCTGTATAAGACATGCGCGATAACATCGGGTTAGTGTAATACAACCAATCGCCATCGTTCTGTATAAGACATGCGCGATAACATCGGGTTTGTGTAATATAACCAATGGCCATCGTTCTGTATAAGACATGTGCGATGACATTGGGTTTGTATAATACAACCATTACAATAAACAGTTGACATATACTACAATAAACAGTGTATGAAAATATAAAGTGTTATTAACGAGCTTAGGAAACAGAGAGAAAGGCGAAACTTGCCGAGCTTTTCTCCTGTTTCGTAGCAAGTACAAATACATTGTATACTTTCCTACACTGTACGAATATTGTTTTTATTCTGCAATTTAACATTGAGCTTAAAACTTATGTTTTTCCATCCAAATCGTAGCCTTCCCCCTTTTAAAAAAATCGTTAGAGAGAGCTCTTTAAATGATATATCGGTGACCGCTGTGGATAGTAAACTTGGAATTGATAGTAAATAGCAAATACAAGTTCTTTCTAGTATATTTATGTTCATGCAATACGAAAAAACGGGAAAAATAATTCAAATCAATAGAAAACAAAAAAAGTAACAGATTTTGGAAAAAAAGGGGGAGGGCTAAAAAATAATTGTCCTGTGCCCTATGTACCTATGATCTGCCACCCTGTATTTTTATAGTGGAAAGGTCGATTGCAGAATAGATACCATGACATCAATCCATCCGTCTGTTTGTCTGTCCTTACGTCTATCAGTTAAATCGTTATTATTTGAACTTATTTTCTCTAATTTTTATATTTTTTGCCCTTTATTCTCTATTCTGTAAACCCCCATCCACACCCTCATACATACATACGAAATTATAGGCATACAGTGACCTATAGTTGTTACTTTCTGTGTCATTTGGTCTCTTGTGGAGAGTGGTCTCATTAGCAATCATACCACATCTTCTTATTTTTATATGATATACATGTTGAATATTACAGTTTAAATTGTTCGGTGATACGTACTATAAGTTGTCATTGGACGAGTCCAAGATTCCAAGTCAGTTAGTAGATGGAACAGTAGGACTGAATGAGGATGACAATGATATACTGCGCATGAAAAATGAAAAGAAGGTACTTACACATATCATACTTAGTTTTTTATTGCTACTATTAATCTTATGAACATTAGTCGGTCTCTATTTTAGAACCGGGACTGCGTAAAATGGAAATTTAATAAATAGAGTATCTCTGCCTTAATGTATTTACGTCTTATTTTTTTTTTTTTTTTTGTTACGACCCGGCCCTTCTAAACTTTTATTACTAGTGTTCGTTAAAATGATGCTAATAAACAAGTCTGCATGTAACCACGACAGAGTCGAACTTAACTTACAAAATTTGACATAGTACGTAGAATGTAAACAATCGCAGTCGCATGAACTGAAAAAAAAAATAGACATGGTTTATAGACAATTGCATGAACTGATAGAACGAGACATGGTGCATGGGCAATCAGAGTCGTATACAATAATAGACATGTTTATGCGTAAACAATCGGAGTTTCATAATCTGACAGAATGAGACATAGTGCTAGAAAATCGACGTCTCATAAACGGACAATACGTGACATTATACGTAGTTTCATGGACTGACAGGCAGGAGCATGGTGTATAAACAATCGCAGTCACATGAACTGACAAAATGAGACATGGCGCATAGACAATTTTAGTCTCAACGAATGAAAAAAAAATGACAGTGGATAGATAATCGAACACATATGGTGTATCCCCTATTCAGTTGCTCTGTTAAAGTCCTATTTATCTAATCGTAAACAACAAATAAAAGTCAACAATGTTCTGAGTGGTTGGGCTGACATCCATAAAGGCGTACCACAGGGTTCTATACTAGGGCCATTGTTGTTTAACGTATTTATAAATGATATTTTTCTTTTTGTTAAAAATGGTAGTTTATATAACTATGCAGATGAAAATACTTTGTCTTTCTATACTCCAGATTTTGATTTATTAATTTCAACTTTGGAATCTGAGTCAAAAATACTTATTGAGTGGTTCCGGGTGAATAAAATGCAAGCAAATCCCGACAAGTTTCAAGTTTTGGCTGTTGGCAAAAAGACCTTTGAAAAAAACCCATCTATACATATTCAAAATTCGAATCTTACATGTGAAAAAACAGTAAAATTATTAGGCATTGAAATTGACTATCAGTTGAATTTTGATGTTCATATCAGCTCAATCTGTAGGAGGGCCTCACAGCAACTAAATGTTTTAAAACGTTTGGGCTCAGTTTTGGATAGACTTAGTAAACTTACTATTTTTCATACTTTTATTCTTAGTAATTTTAATTTTTGCCCTTTGGCATGGCATTTTTGTACTGAGAAAAATTCCAAAAAACTAGAAAAGGTGCAGGAAAGAGCACTCCGTTTTGTATACGAGGATTTTAACAGCTCCTACGAGGACCTCTTACTTAAAGCTACGGTGCCCTCCTTGCAGATCAGACGGATAAGAACAATGGCTCTAGAAACTTTCAAGATTATAAACAATATAGCTCCTGTGTGCTTACAAAATTTGGTGAGTGTCAAAAAATCTAAGTATTCTTTCAGGTATGTAAATATTCTGGATGTTCCACAGGTAAAGTCAACCCGTTACGGTAAAAAATCTTTCAAATTTGCTGCCGCAACTTAATGGAACAGCCTTCCAAACCATTGGACTGAAAATAGTTTTTCACATTTTAAAAGTCTTGTTCAGTCCTGGAACGGTTTGGAATGTCGCTGTTCTGCTTGCAGATAACTCTTGGGCTGTTTATTATTTATGTTGCTTTGGACTAGTGTTGATGTATTTCTTAACGAATTTTTATATATTTAAATTTTAATTTCTGACACATATTCCCAAAAATTGGATAATCAATTCATGTTGAAAATATTCTGTTCTTTGAAATTTCTAGATCTCAAAGCATGTACTATAGTTCCAAACTTTTCATTTGATTTTTAAAAGTAATCTGTTTATTTAAATAGTGACCATATTTTTAATCTAAATCTTAAACTTTAATGTAGGTAAAAAATGTTTTACTTCATTCTAAATTTGTTGTTATTGCATGCTATGTATGTAAGATTCAACTCTGTATTACAGGTTGTTTTATATGTTTAATTAGACTGTTTTTATGTTATGTATATGTTTTTATATTCGGTCAAAAGCTCCTGAGAGCTTATGTTTGTATTTTAACTTATACCGAATCAAATAATTTTTTCTTATCTTAACTGATCTTATAACACTATCGAACTGAGAGAAAGGGACATGGGGCTTAGTCAAACGGAGTCTAACGAACTGACAGAAAGGGACATGGGGCTTAGTCAAACGGAGTCTAAGGAACTGACAGAATGAAATAAGTTACTTAGTCTCATAGTGTTTAGATACTTGGAGTCGCATGACCTGACATAATTGGACATGGTTCGCGGACTAAAAATATTCGAAAAGTTACGTATTTTTTAAATTGTAGCCAATTTTATTTAGAGATGACTCAAAACCGACATTTTTTTTGCTTTTTAGTTAAGAAAATGAAAAAAAAGGACTCTGTAACCTAAACAAAAATAGAAGTTGAATAAACTATATTAATGGGCATCCCAGCAATTTGAAAAGAGACACATCTAAAGTTCATGACCAACAGGTCTTTAACAGATCTATAACAGGTCGATATATTACAAAAGGTCGATATAATACAACAGAAAGGTAGTCCGTTCGTGTTATAAAGATGATTTTTTAAAATTCATATTTGTATTTTAGGTCGAGTTTCTGGAGATAGACAGGAAGGAAATCAATATGCCTTATGCTGACACAGCAAATCCAGACCCTGAGTTGACTGATATGTGGCATTTAGTACGTAATTAATGTTAAAAGGGTTGTGATATTTCTTATGTAGTCATTTCGTACCTGAAAGACATGTTTACAATATACTGATGTGTGTTTTGTATAGTGTTATTCCAAATGGAGTCTAGAATCTGTTAATGATTATAATGAAAAAACAAAAAAAATGATAATAATATCTCCTAACGACCTCATAACACAAAATAAGAAACACTTTTTTATTCAGATTGATGACTGTACTTCAAAGTAGGTTTTGTTTATTTTATAGAACGGTGTTATGAAATACTCACATAACATTGAAGAAGCTTGGGCCTTAGGTTACACAGGAAAAGGTATCACAGTTGGTGTAATAGATACGTTAATGCAAACAAACCATACAGATCTGACTAATATGGTGAGTTAGTTCGTTACCAAGCAACAGTTATATTTGTCTTAAGATACATACCGATCTGACTAATATGGTGAGTTAATTCGTTACCAAGCAACAGTTATATTTGTCTTAAGATACATACTGACCTGACTAATATGGTGAGTATGTTCGTTACCAAGTAACAGTTATATTTGTCTTAAGATACATACCGATCTGACTAATATGGTGAGTTAATTCGTTACCAAGCAACAATTATATTTGTCTTAAGATACATACCGATCTGACTAATATGGTGAGTTAATTCGTTACCAAGCAACAATTATATTTGTCATAAGATACATACCGATCTGACTAATATGGTGAGTTAGTTCGTAACCAAGTAACAGTTAGAGTTGTATTAATATACATACCGATCTGACTAACATGGTGAGTTAATTCTTTACCAAGCAACAGTCAGATTTGTCTTAAGATACTTATCTTTTTTGGCATATCAATTTCACATTTTGCTCATGCAAACTGCGTTACTCTTTTTAAGATAAATATCTTTTCTGGTCATAATTGAAAATTTATGGAAATTATATTAATAAAAAAATGAAAACTTTTGGGAATAGGCAGTCAGCTTAGAAATGAGAAATGAGAAATGACAAAGTATCAAAAGACACAACTTAACTAGAAGTGAGAATATTTTGGTATACAAAATAGCAGTGCCCTTTTCACGGGACAATATTTAACCATTATTTTAAAGCTTTTTTTAAGTATAATTATTGTTATTGTATGATTGATTGATTGTTGGTTGCTTAACGTTCATATTGATATTGTTATCACTATACTGATTGTGCCCGTCATGAGTCCTCTAATGGGACCTTCTCTTGTCTTGTCTTGTACTATCTTATTTTATTGTATCTTATCTTATCTTATCGTATTTTCTCTTGTCTTATCTTATCGTATCTTATCGTATCATGTCTTGTCTTGTCTTATTTTATCTTATATTATCGTATTTTATCTTATCTTATCTTATCCTATCTTGTCTTATCTTCTCGTATCGTATCTTATCGTATCTTACCGTACCATATCTTATCGTATCTTATCTTATCTTGTCTTGTCTTATCTTATCGTATCTTATCGTATCATGTCATATCTTGTCTTATCTTATCGTATCTTATCGTATCTTATCGTATCTTACCTTACCATATCTTATCTTATCGTATCTTCTCGTATTTGTGTCTTATCTTTTTTAACAATAAAATTATTTTGTAGGATGAATCAAGTTCATATGATTATTACAACGATGACAACGACCCTAACCCACCAGATTCATCCTTATAGTAAGATGATAAATACATATTAGTCACGTCAAAGAAAGAAACCATCTCAACAAATAAAAAGCTTAGTTTTAAACATTACTTAAGGTTAGGGTTAGGTTAAAGGGATTTACTGCGTAGAGGTTATAAAGGACAACAAATAATTAATTTATAGAAAGGCACAAGAATAAAATAAGAAATAAACGAAGACTGCCATCTGGACCCTCCTTTAGGGGGGAAGTAAAAAACAGAGTGACGATACTAATGTGATTTTAAGAAAGAAGAATTAAGAGTCACACAAGATAGACAAATCCATGGGTAATACGACAAGGACAGACAACTCCATGGGTAATACGACAAGGACAGACAACTCTATGGGTAATACGACCAGGACAGACAACTCCATGGGTAATACTACAAGCACAGACAACTCCATGGTAAATGCGTCAAGGACAAACAACTCCATGGGTAATACGACCAGGACAGACAACTCCATGGGTAATGCGACCAGGACAGACAACTCCATGGCTAATACGAACAGGACAGACAACTTCATGGGTAAAACGACAAGGACGAGAAATAAAAAAAGTCGACAAAATATTTTTTTAAAATGACATGATTTAGTCTGTCAGTTTCAATCATTGACGAACAACTTACTTAGTTGAGAAATCTTGAGATGTAATTATGATTGTTTGGTGTTTGCCTTAAACTCTTTGGAAAATATTTTTTTTTTGGAAAGTGGGTCAACCGGAAAATGAAAGGAATTTAAAATTGAGAATGGAAATGGGGAATGTGTCAAAGAGACAACAACCCGACCATAGAGCAGACAACAGCCGAAGGCCACCAATGGGTCTTCAATGCAGCGAGAAACTCCCGCACCCGGAAGCGTCCTTCAACTGGCCCCTAAACAAATATGTATACTAGTTCAGTGATAATGGACGTCATACTAAACTCCAAATTATACACAAGAAACTAAAATTAAAAATGATACAAGACTAACAAAGGCCAGAGGCTCCTGACTTGGGACAGGCGCAAACATGCGGCGGGGTTAAACATGTTTTTTGAGATCTAATCTTTTCGTATCGTTAGACTGCCTTTTAAAAAAGATGTTACATTTAAGGAATAGTCTTCCAATATGCCACATTAGGCCCTTACAAGTCAATAATTGCAAGAGAGCGTAACACCCTCCTCTATACGGGAAATTTGAATTGAAGTGATGTTGCGCACAGTTTAACGAGCACCCCTCTTTAGTAGGAGTTTATCTATTCCTATCAGAGAAGTCCACTATACCCTTTTCAATTCATTATGTTGAGATATAGATTAATTATTATTCATGTTAAAATGCCAGATTTTGATTGGTTATTCCGAGGGAGATGATTTACTCTCTCCCAAGGCTAATACTCTTTTACCCTTGATTAATTGTGCGCTTTATTAAATACGGATGGTTGTTATGTACAATAGTTTACTTCTTTGAATTAGAAATTTAATAGACAGTTATAACAGAACATTCAGTATAATAAATTCAATCATACAAAGCTGAGAGTGTGATAGTGCAGATTGTTAACATTCAAAAAAACATTGTAAATCTTGGCTTCGCCTCCTTATGACAAGTTTTCACGGGGTAACGATCTGCTCCTTCACCCTCACCCTCTCAGCTATATGTTATGTAAGAGTTATGAATAAAAGACCAAAGGGAAAAAAGGGGAAAATGACATAGAAAGATCTACAGATTAGCGTCAAGAAAAAAATAATATAAAATTAAGGACACGTGGTATGATTGCCAATGAGACGACTATCCATCAAAGTTCAAATGAAGTGGGTGTAAGCAATTATAGGCAACCATACGGCCTTCAACAATAAAAAAACGGTATAGTGGCTATAAAAGGCCCCGATATGAAAAAAAATGAAGCAATTCAATTGAGAAAACTAACGGTTTAATTTATAACAAAACAATTCACGAAAAACAAATATGACAGCCATGAACCAACGACAACCATTGAACTCCGGGCTCTTGAATTGGGACAGACACATAAAGAATGTGGCTTTATTAACCTTATTAAAGCCGAATTTGAAATAAAATGCTCATGTAGGATAAGCTAGGAGTTTCATGCGTACAAACAGGGCATGTTGAGTTGCTTATGAAGAAGTAAAAATTCTTGTTGCAATAAAAAGTAAATAAACAAATACACTTTAATGATAATTTTTAATTAGATTAGATAAGGTGAAAGATTCAAATTTGACAATCAAAGTTCAACTGACAACCCCATAATAAAAAAGAAAAAAAGAAAGTCTACAAGTCACTACATAGAAAACTAAAGATTGAACAGGATCTCTGGTGCTCCGGAACTGTGATGCTGCTCCTCATTTAATACAAGTTTTGTTGTTCATGTTATTAACAGGTTATTAATACATATGCGATGCTTCATAAAATTCTAAGTCTCGTTTGGTGACGCATGCATAAAAAATATTTTGTATTCTTTCAGTCACGGAACATCGGTTGCGGGTATCATAGGTGCAACAAAGGGGAATAACTATTGTTCTGTTGGTGTTGCATATAATGCAACACTAATAGGTAAGCAAACCTGAGATTTATTTTGACTATCATCTATCTAAATTACATTTCGTAATAGTTACTTAGTAACATTGAAAAACTTTCGCTCTGAAAGTCATGTAACATTTGTCATTGAACGTTGAACGCCTATCCATCATTGTGGCGTAATTTTAAATCTATTAGATTTTAGTAGTTCGTTTTGTTGTAAATGACAAAGAAAACTTATTTTGTGGTAGAACGTCACATGTTGATCGGCCATGCATTCGATACACAGCATATACAAGAGTTATCGTTCTTGACATTACATAGTATTTTGATACTCAAGTTTTTTGCAAGTATGATATGAATATTGTTTTCTTGGACAATTCTATGTACGGTAAAAGATGGTATACACAAAAATTGCAACGGAGTTTATTAAACCAACGGTGTCAATCAGATGTGTATTCTTCAATATTCTAAATAGCTACTACAAAATATTCAATCAAAATCTTTACAATTTTGCAGTTATATCAAAAACTTTTGATTTGTCTACGCTTACCACTACTAATCACCATGCACAAATGGAGACGCCTACCATGTTGACGCACTCGATCACACTTCTTTAAAGTTCATGCATATCCCTCTGTTAATGTTTGTTGCCTGTATTTGTTATTTTTCAATCGAATCATGAGATTTGAACATCGGCTAACTACTGTTGCCTTTATTAGTTCTCTATAAATCTAATGAACTTGTATATCATGTACCATATAAGCTTATTATAGAAAAAAACAATCGTGCAGATCATTGAATTTTTTGTTAAAGTTTACCCACATAACGTCTAACAATCAAGATTCTACCCCAATACGATATTTGACCACTTTTGACAAGTTATATTTCAAAATATTAAAAACTTTCGGCAAGCCTTGTATTTTAAATATAAAAAATAACTATCCCGAGTGAAGAAATATCGTATCACTCTGAACAGTTGTAAAATCTATATTTCTATAACTTATATACATTAAAACCGGTTCTGAACAGATTGAGTTTGATTAGATTTATCTCGTATATTTTCCCTCATATCCATTCGGAACATTGTACTCCATTTTCCATTTAAAATCAAGATAGTAAACATCTTTAATGACAATCAGGAAAACGTATCTGAGTATACATATTAGTATACATATTAGTACATCTTTTCTTTTAAATTTGTGGGGTTTTTACGCTCCTGGCGAAGAGCAACCAAAAAAGCACTTAGGATTCACACATTTATTTGTGTTATTTTTTCAACTTATTTATTTTAATACAGACAAATTTACTCATTCTTCTTATTTGCAAACCTTATCATGCTGATCGGTTTATCTATTTTCATTTTTTCGCTATCTTCTCTTTTTTCTGTCGCAAAAACGCAAAAAAGAGTTAACATCGTCCTATATGGACCACAACTCTTAAAAGGACTGAAGTGACAATTTCGGCTATGCAGGCATATTGGTAGATCTTATTTTTCTAGTCATTTTTGTTATATCAGTTTCTTTCTGTTTACTAAAGCTTTTGTCCAAAATATAAAAAGGGTAAACATTGTCCATTTCATGCACGCTTCAGTTGTTTTTGTCGTACATTTCCATAAAACACGTCACCAGTTGGAGTTTCCTTGTCTCTTCGAAACTGTACTGGCTCTTCATAAAACCATCCATTTGTTATGTGTTTTTTCAGCTTTGCACACCTCACTTAAAATGTAATCCAAAACCTTAACCAAGCAACATATCCTTATCATATAGGTTTTCACTTATCACGACTAATATTACATTATAACTAGGGAATATGGGCTATGGAGACGTCTAATTTTTATTGATTTTATTAATTTTCAAATTTACATTTTTCATATATTTTTCAGCTATTGGATTACTAGGCTTGAGTAGCGGCAATATGTTAACAGATTCGCAACAAGCCATGGCATTATCTCATATGTACGATACAATTGACATTTACTGTAACAGCTATGGTCCAACTGGTTCGTATAGTTACTCATCATTAGGATCATTCCGTCAAGCAGCATATGAAAACAATGCAAACTATGTAAGTTAATTCCTATTTATTTACACGCGTTTGAAATAACACTGAACATCACGATAAAAAAAAGAGAGTTTAGAAGAAACCTTAAAAATAACGCTTATTCTGTAAATTTCTTATGAAAACGATTTTAGTATTTAGATTTTCCGTAATTAAATGATTTCTTAATTCTGTACATAGTTAATTTCTGTAATCAGTATTGTATCGCCTAATTATTTTATTTTCTACAGTTATTCTCTATATTTTTGCACCCCATGTTTCTCTATTCTTTATACTTTTTGCCCTTTTTCTCTATTCATTATTTTTGGGCCATTATTCTATATTCTGGAAATTCCTTCCAGTTCAGTTTTCAAATAAAGGAATTGATGCAATCAACATCAGCAACGTTCTTCATCACAAGGAGGTCACATCTAAAATTCCACTTTATTTTCAAAATCAGTCTGTCCCTATTGCATTCTACAGTTACACCAAAACCATTGCACCTAAAGTATTTAACTATAAGCAATCATTACAGGACCTTGATTTAGATGAATACCTAAAAAAAACCTCTGACATGTGACTCTTCCCACCCGCCTTAAATTAACAGCCCCTCTGGCCATGTTATTATTGGGGATCTAAACATAATTCAACATGAACATCTCCGAAAGGTGATATCTCATGGTCCTAAGTTCAGAGAATCCTAAAACATCAATTGAAACCATAACTTCAAAATACTTATGGTATCTATTGAGGACTACGCCATAGCATGGGCTAAACGAGAAGAAGTTGAATTAGACACTTCGTCAGAATGGGTCACACCGATCAGGTCTCTGATAAAACGACGAATTCATAAGTTGAAAAACTGTGTCAATGATCGACCAAAGTCCGTTTTCAGAGACAAAGAAGCTGTGAAATGTCTATCATCTCTTCTCGATAAATATGTTGTTGTTCCTGCGACCAAGGCTTCAAATAATATTGTCTTTGTATGTAAATCGTACTACTACGAGTGTCTTGTAAAAGAATTAGGAATAAATGAGCACTCAGGTAATCCCACATACAAAAACATATCATTTGACAAGGATGAGATTTTGGCGAATCATGAGTCCTTCATGGCTTCAATGAACATTACATTGAACAGCAAATCTGAGGACTTACCTTGTTTGTATTAGATACCTAAACTTCACAAAATTCCGTACAAACATCGGTACATTGCCGGCTCATCTGCATGTTCTACATAGGAATTGTCCATTAGATTGACAAAATTTCTGTCCGCAGTGAAAGAGGGTCTTCAGAAATACTGTGAAACTGTTTACTCCGGTAGTAGTATTAACAATATGTGGATTCTAAAAGACTTTTTATAGTGATTGAGATTATAACGCAATGTTGACTGCTGTGCCCTATTTTTGACATTTTTACCTATCATGTCTGTTTGTTTTGTTCACACATTGTTGTCAATATAATGGAATTTTATGCGACTGTCATACAAGTGAGAGGTTTAGCTAGCTTTAAAATCAGGTTTAATCCACCATTTTCTACATTATGAAATGCCTGAACCAAGTCAGGAATTTGACAGTTGTTTTCCATTCGTTTGATGTGATTGAGCTTTTGATTTTGCCAATTGTTAAGGGACTTTCCGTTTTGATATTTTCCTTGGAGTTCGCTATTTTTGTTGTTTTACTTTTTTCTGTAAACCCCATCCAGACCCTCATTTATACGTGTGCTAAATTATTGGTAGCAAAGGTTATTAGAAAAAGAGAGAGAAGATATCATAAGGGCAACGAAAAATCACAAGTCAAATAAAAAAGACAACACCATGACAACAAAAAAAAAGAAAAACATAAGGTTTGGCTAGCCACAAAACCAGGTTCAACCCACCATTTCTTTCTTTAAATGTCCTGTACCAAGTTAGGAAAATGGCCATTGTTATATTATAGTTCGTTTCTGTGTGTGTTACATTTTAATGTTGTGTTACTGTTGTGTCGTAGTTCTCCTCTTATATTTAATGTGTTTCCCTCAGTTTTAGTTTGTAACCCGGATTTGTTTTTTTCTCAATCGATTTACTACTGTTGCCTTTATTTATACGACGATACATATAACATAAAATCAATACAAACAAAACACAACACAACACATACAATTAAAGAGTGAGCAAAACCCGGGGATGAACTCGGGTGCACCGGAAGGGTCAGCAGTTCCCACTGAACTAGTGATACATGAAGAAGTCAGAGAAGACTGACAAGGACCAGTGAAGAACCAAAGCAGACAGTTAATATAAAAAAAAACAATAAGGAAAAATTAGTAATTTGATCCGAGTGTTGAAGATCGTTCAACAATATCGGCCATGGTCAAACATATGATAACTGCATTGAGACCGACTTGAGAATGATTTAATATGAAGTAAGGTGCATTGATTCTTCCTTGAAATCATTTTTTTTCTCGGTTTGAAATCATAGATGTTGGTTACTGCGGTACATATTTTGTAGAAATAGAAATAAATATATGCAGCATTGTCTAAGAATCGCTTCTTAGATTGGTCTATTTCTATAAATACAAATATGTATACAAGTGCTTTTCTTCATGAATTTGATTACATTGTTATTGTTCTGAATTGTGAAACTCGGACTACCACAAAACCTCTTTTGTCTTAGCTGCATCCTAATTCGTAACATTACTGAAAAATATTGAATGATGAATTGAATAAATAACATTTTACTTATAATACTGAAATTTTAAAACGATGAAGGTCGCAAAATAGGTCAGATTTAAGTGAAAGAACTTTATTTTTGGTTTCATGAGTCCATGAACGTTTGTGTAAGGTTTTTGATTTTTATATATTTTCTTAAATGAACAGGAAAAACTTGACTGTATACATTTACAGTTAAACATGTACTCTCTGATTATATATTTAGATGAATAAAACGGAGCTTTCGTTGATAAACACAGTTTTTTTTTATTCCAGGGAAGACAAGGAAAAGGTAACATATACGTTTTTGCAGCCGGAAATGGTGGCTCAATTGCAACACCTAATACAAAGTCCCATCATACAACTATGTATACTATCGGGATACAAAGCGTTGGTTACGACTATGTTGTTCGGTATGGAGAAATAGGATCTTCGATAATGGCCAGTGCTTATGGAGGAAGCGTTTTTGACAGATCATTGGTACATATAAATAATGCAAAACTAGTTTACTTCTATATTTCAAAAGAAATAATATAAACTTGTAAAAAAACATCTTGACAATGCTACGGTAGTCGATGGAGTATTTCTCCACAGTCAGAATAAGCCACCAAGTTCTATTTACTTACATTATGTTTGTTCTGATAAATTCCATAGATTAGTTACAGAACCTATTTAATGCTCCGTAACCCTCGTCGGTAGTTTTATTAGAATTTAAATGCGGGGGAGGGGGGTCATTCATTTCTGTATTCTTTAATGTTTTCTCTATTCTTTATACTCTGTCCATTATTCTCTATTCTTTATATTTTAACATCCCATTATTCTCTATTTTTTTTTTACCCATTTTGCTTCTTTTTTTTTTTTTTAACCGATTTTTCTGTATTATTGGTCCATTATTCTGTATTCTGTAAATCCCACCAGACCCTGTTTTAAGGCATATCTAACTATTATGTTATTTGGATAACTAGATGTTAAAAGCAGATCGTTTGGTGGTTGTATTTATTCATGTTAGAGACTTTCTGTCAAAGGCCTGTAGTAATTGTGTGTTATGAGTTATTACACCCTATACTTTTATTTCTTGCAATTATCAAAATAGAATAACATTTTTCATTCAATGGACCTAGACTTTTTATTTCTAAGATATTTTTACCATTTGATACCAACCCGGTCTTTGATGTGTTCATGATAATGTGATCTGTAAGTTGTTTTTGTGGACTGTTGTTTGTCTTTTTTTCGCTGTGGCTTAGTCAAATGTTTACGACTATAAGTTTGTTTTTTTTTCCATTTGGTATCTTTCGCCTATCTTTGGTATCTTTCGCCTCCCTTTGGAACCTTTCACGTTATGACCTATTTGAACAAAATGAAAATCTAAAAATAAAATGATCATAATCATATTAGGAAAACTTTGCATAAGGGAATTGGAACTTTGGTTTCTAAATAGCTCTTAATTTATCAACGGGGAATTTTAGAAGTATTGTTATAAATCATGTCATTACCTACAAAAGAGAGGCGAAAGATACCAAATGGACATTCAAACTCACCAAATTGACAATGCCATAAAAAAAAAACGAAAAACGACCGAAAGGCAAACAACAGTATACAAAACACAACATAGAAAACTAAAGACTGAGCAACATAAACCCCATCAAAAACCGGGGTGATCACAAATGTATCGCTCCACTAATTTAATCTGATCTGGTAAGGTGTCAAACGCTGCAGAACTGAAATGTTTAATGCAAATGAGAGGTAACTGTAAATTGATAATCTTTTTTCAAAGCTCATAAATCATCTCTTATACTCAAACTAAAAACATGATGGAATGTATGTAAACCAGAACGAGACTGGTGCGGTGACAGGTTAACGGCTTTTGCATTGCATTTATTAACCGCCATCAGAATTCAAACTCAGTCAGATATGTCACGAGAATGAATAGCTTAACATTGGTACATTGCCACATGTGGAGCAGGATCTGCTAACCCTTCCGGAGCACCTGAGATCACCCCCAGTTTTTGGTGGAGTTCGTGTTGCTTAGTCTTTAGTTTTCTATGTTGTGTCATCTGTACTATTATTTGTCTGTTTGTCTTTTTATTTTTGGCCATGGCGTTGTCAGTTTGTTTTCGATCTATGAGTTTGACTGTCCCTCTGGTATCTTTCGTCTCTCTTTTACAGATCAGATGATCATACAAAAATTTAAGCCACGCCGAACCATGTAAAAATTACAGTAAAACCTTTATTTCAACGATAAAATTACAGTAAAACCTTTATTTTCTGCCTTTACAGACGTCAACTACTACTAATTCTGGGTGTATTGAGGGTTTACGAGGCACTTCTTTTGCAGCTCCAATTGCAGTAGGAATCATCGCACTGGCATTAGAGGCAAAGTAAGTTTCAGAAAAGTCTGAAAAATACCGAAGGAATTTTAAAGACGATTTAACAATGTGACGATGACATGAATCACGTAACATGGATTGTGCTCCGTTATTGTTGCATCTACAATTTCAATACTGAGATCCGCACATCTGCCTAAAATATGAATCCCGAATCAATAAATTCTTAGCAGTTGTACACATATCTCATTTTGTTGTTAGAGTAAGGACATTTGGTTTAATTCTATTTATTTCTTCTTCTAGAAAAGGGAGATAAAAACCTAGTCCATACTCAATTGTCTCTCCGCCGAGTTTGCGTTTCTTAAAGGACGGGTCGGACGAAGTCCAAAACCTATTTTAAGAATGGTGATGTTTCTGGAAAAGGGGGTACCTAATTTGCGTAATCAACTTGTCCTACAGTTTTCTTCCCAAAACCAAATTTTAGATTGTGCACGTACTATAAAAATATTGTTTTAGAATGTTTTTTAATTTTTCAATGCTTTGGGAACAAAGTGAATTATCAGCAACATTTACAAAATAGATATTCATTTTGTGTTATCAATTCCTCCAACATTTTAAACCCATATCCATGACACTTCATTGAAAGATTGCACACGTTTGAGTTTTACACCTGGTTTATGGATTTGTTGAGGAACTTTTCCTCCACTTTTCCAAACTTAGAAATTAATTTAAATCTTTTTCAGTAAAATTTACAACAGATGATTAGATTTTTGTGAAATCAATTTCGACCAAAGTTTTCTAACCGGTTGCTTGCAACTTATCATACAGATTGCACATATGTCGAAGTTGTGCAACCATTTATGGAATTGTTTCAGGTTTTTTTTTACTTTTTCTAGACTTAAGTAATTTTAAAAATTGTAACAATTTTTTTCAAGCCCAGGTCTTTGAAACCTCATTTTCAAAAGAATTCTCGTGAGTCCTGTATGATTATACAAATGCATATAAAAAAAGTTTAGGGTTTCGCATAGACTCCAAACGAAGCTAGACTGGATGTTGCAACAGGGTAAAGGTTTCCTACTATATATAAAAAAGAAGAAGACATGATATGATTGCAAGTATGACAGCTATTCACTAGACACCAAATGACATTGATGTAATCAACCATAAGGCATCATATGGACTTGAAAAATGAGGAAATCCCATATCGTATGACAAGCTATTACAAGCCCCGAAATGATTCAACGAATTAAACCAAACGTCTTTATTTAGGTACAAAACATTAAACTAGAAACAAATATGATATACAACAACACGATAGCACTGACTTGAATTACCTTAGACGTATTTAGCAAATCTTTTTTATACATCAACGCCAGTTGTGACAATTTCTACAATAGTTACCTAACATATTGGTCGGAACAAAGGTATAACAAGTAAACATGCTTTGTAAAATCTTCCACTTTCTAGCAATGACCTTACCTGGAGAGATGTTCAGCATTTAATCGTTAGAACTTCCAAACCATACGGGTTCAAGGATCGCGTTGATATTGAGAATAAATGGCAACGTACTGGAACAGGCTTTAGAGGTTGGTAGTTTTTATGGCATATTTTGTTCTCTTTTTATGGTATTATTATTTCATCCATAACACTATTACAGTTTAATTCAGTCAAATATAATGGTATAATCAGTCAAGGTATAATCAGTCAAATGTAATCGTATACTCAGTCAAATGTAATTGTATAACTAGACAAATGTAATGGTATAATCAGTTAAATGCAATGGTAACATCAGTCAAATTTAATGATATAATCATTCAAATGTAATGGTATAATCAGTCAAGGTATAATCAGTCAAATGTAATGGTATACTCAGTCAAATGTAATGGTATAACTAGACAAATGTAATGGTATAATCAGTTAAATGCAATGGTAAAATCAGTCAAATGTAATGGTATAATCAGTCAAATGTAATGGTATAATCAGTCAAGGTATAATCAGTAACATGTAATGGTATAATCAGTCAAATGTAATGGTATAATCAGTCATATGTCGGAGTATAACTATTCTATCGTAAAATTGTTATTGTTGATTACTGGTAAACTCACTGTTTCGTCAAAGATTAATCTCAATATCGTATTATTACCATTTTATCCCATAGCATGAGCATTATATATGTAGTGGTATATGTAACTAATGTACTAATATAAAGGTTATTTTGATGGACTCAGATCTGTCTTTTACTCTCAAACTGAATTAGGTCTGAAATACTTAGTTTGAGGTTTGAGAGTGGAAGAGTGTTTGATAGTTTTAAATAATTTGAACGGGTAAACTAATAGCCAGATTTATGCACAAAACTATAAGCAAAAAGCGAATATGATATACAGCAATAAACGAAAACCATTGAATTACGGATTCCTGACTTGGGACAGGCACATGTGGCGGGCGAGGATAATAATGTTTTTGCTGGTGCGAAAACATTCACCTAACCTGATACAGTAATGTAACAGTACAACATTAGAATAAACGATAAAAATCAGTTAATTAAAGGGTTGACACATCAGATCGACGAGAAGCACAATAAACAACAAACAAATACACTAAAGACAAAAAGTCAGATCTGAGACTATTCGCAGTTATTGAAAAAAAATGGTTTGCCAGACTAGCGTTCATCCTACACAAGACACAACAGTGACACTCCAATCGAAATGGTTCAAAGGTCGAATTAAGTACGAAGTTGTGGAGCTGTTAGAGTTTTCTTTGAGACCGACAAATAGTCGACTGCTCGTCTCGGATGTGTTCCATCGTTCTTTGGTATTACTGAAGATAAATAAATTCCGATTATCAAGTTTCCTGCATATTGATACTTGTCAACTGTAAATCAAAATGTGAAGTCTTTTGTCGAGTGAGAACGGCGTACTGGTTCAAACCGGTCTCGTTTTTCTGTCGTGAACATACATCAGGTCACGCTATTTTTTTTGTTTGACCCTTTATAGATGGGTTTGCTCAGGTGGAAGTCCTTACGGTAACCTGTAGTTGCTAACCTTTACGTGTGGTCTCTGGTGGATAGTGGTCTTATTTATAATCATACTCCATATTCTTATTTTTATTTATATACTGTGTCGATCAGCTGATATTTTACAAATCAATATGATGATAAGTGGATAATCGAGATATCGGCTTGAATTTACTGTGGGTTCATTAATTTTTGTGGGTACCAATTTTCGTGGATTAAGTAAAAAATTTGTGTTTGTGGATATTTAATTTTGTTGTTTTGCCGAAGTCTGCATACAAGCTTATAGCAAATTTGTCATTTATTGAACATTTAATTTCGTGGTTCACCTGTACCCACAAAATCCACAAAAATTGGTATCCAACGAATAATAATGAATCCACAGTATGTGTTTTTCATAAAAGAAACATTTTTTTTATTTGTTTAACCAGATAAACTGACTAAGTTCTGATCAAAGTTATAAATTACTTGAGCTGTATTTGGTAAACCCTTGCGAAATTTTGGGTGCTCAATTGCTCTTCAACTTCGTACTTTATTTGACCTTATTCTATTTATTTTTCAATTCAAGGGTCACTGATGAGTCTTTTGTAGACGAAACACACGTCTTGTGTACACAATTTGAATCCTGGTATCTATGATGAGTTTATTTATTACATGTAAGGCCTGGTTAGCTTATTTGACGTCATGTCAAAATATAACTAGAGCTGAGCAGAGTTTAACCAGGTTTAACCCACCATTTTCTTAGGAAAATTCCTTAACCAAGTCAGGAATATGGCAGTTGTTTTTCACTTGTTCCTGTTTTTTATGTTGCAATGGTTACGTCAATATGAAATCAATTTCATATGGTAATTATTATACTTAATCTTTTGAATTAGTTCATCACAAAATGGGATTCGGTTTGATGAATGCTGAGGCTATGGTTAAGATGGCAATAAAGTGGAAAACTGTTCCGGAACAACTGACTTGGCAATCAAAAGTTAGCACCCCAAACATGTAAGTAAAAGTTTAAAGAGTTAATACTTAGCGACATGTGATAACTATAATGTTCTCACTTCTATTTTTCTAATTGTTTGTAAATTGAATATAAAGATGTTAGTTCGATTCCCGCTATTTTTGACTCAGATTTAGGAACTTATGTAGGAATCCAATTTGTGGACTTACAGACCAACTCGAAGTGAACTTTTATTATTAAATAGAAAAAATAGACAACACCTGAAATAAAAAAAAACAACCCTTTTTTTAGATATAGAACACACTTTTTTTTTTAAAGTTATGTCCTATGTTCTATTGGAGATCGACAATGGATGTTGGAATTCTGTAATAATTTATTTGCTGAAAATTACTCACACATTAAGTACATATCATGCAAACATTTTCAGCATATAGTTCTAAGATAATTTTAATAACAATTTGGAAGGCTACAAATATCTGAAAAAAAGTGAAGATACAAATAAAGGCAACAGTAGTATACCGGTGTTCAAAAGTCATAAATCGATTGAGAGAAAACAAATCCGGGTTACAAACTAAAACCTAGGGAAACAACGTAACAACAGGAACACTGAAGTGACAAAACTATAACACTATGTTTCTCTGTAAAAGTATAATGCCACGGGAAGTGTGGAGATATAAAAGTGTAGTTCTGAAGAAAAAAATCGTAGAACACAAAAATCGTGTGTTATAGTTGTATTCAGGTAGATCATTGGAACTGATATTTAGTAACTTTATTTTTTATCAAAAGTGGACATAGAATAATATAAGAGTCACGTGATGATATAGGGGACATAACTCTCCAAAATCACTGGTATGTTAATTCGTGCTTTTTTTTACAAATGTAGTCCTAATTTACACGTAAAATAAATTTTGGAATTGAGGTATGCACCAATGCCTTAAGGATGTTCGCCCCTTGTTTTTGAATTTTTTTCAGATATTCGGATCCTCTGGTTTTATCCATGTATCGCCATTAAAAAATTTTGCCCACTAACCCCATCTTTTCTCTCCATAATATGATTACATATTGTTTAAAATATCATCTTTGATAATCTTATAAAATCCTTGTTATTTTTTTTATCGTTTTTGAAAGAAAACAGGCGATAATGTTAAATGTATGAAAAATCTAGAGAGAATTATTTCCCGCCAAATTTTCAATGGCTTATATCTCGAAAACAAGCACACTGACCCTTCATTTTTTTCTGCTTTTTTAGTTTCTTTATTTATATACTATCAACTTATAACAGTCTTTTAGAAAGCTTGTTATTTTGAAACAGAGTAGCGAACATCCTTAAAGGCAATTATGAAACTAAATATTACAGGCATTGATTAAGTTATCAATTCAGCTATTGAAAATTCTAGTGACCCATGAACATTTATTTTCGAAATATTTAACTCTATTTGTAGGACATTAGAAGAAAGATCAAAAGCCAAAAACAAAATTGACGTTTCCCGTGACGATTGTCCAATCCGACATTTAGAACATGTAATGGTTACAGTGAGTTTTAATTACTCATGCTGTAGAGGAGCAGTTGAGGTATATCTAGTGTCTCCCAGTGGCACCAAAGTAGTTCTGCTTCCTCGACGATACAACGACGCGTACTACACATACACTAGATCAGGCACCTTTACTTGGACTTACAAAGTTGTTCATTTATGGGGAGAAAATCCTTTAGGAAAATGGAAAGTTTTACTAAACTTAGACACCATGATAGCTACTGGTAAGTATCATTCAATTCTTGAAACAAATATTAGAGGCGACATCAGATTTCAGAATTTCAAATATCATAATAACGTTAAGAAGATGCAAATAAACTCATCATAGATACCAGGATTAAAATTTTGTACGTTAGACTCGCGTTTCGTCTTAAAAAGAAATCATCACGCTTGAATCAAAAACGTTTAAATGGCCAAATAAAGTACGAAGTTGAAAAGCATTGAGGACCCTCAAATGAAGGGCTCTTGTTGATAGTTGTACTATTAGCAAACATGCTACATCATCTTAGTTTAAAAACAAAACTAGGAAATTGCATGAACTTCAAACTGATCGACATCGGGTAACTTGGACAGAGTAAGCGTCTCATGCTATGCATTTATCACCTACCATACGATTCCACAATTTACAATCCGCAAATACATAAAAATTCTAATTTTGCAGATTGAACCACTTTTCATTTAAGGATCTAAGACCGCTAAAAAAAATATTGCTACTGAGTCGAACCACAGTCAAAGCGTCTCGATCAAAGATAAGCCATTTGATTTATAAGACACTACCTTTGACAGTTGACACTGATTCACAAACCAGGTTGATCATCAAAATAATTGTACATTTCAGCTTTTTGTATTTTTATAATCATGGAATTTCAAAGATAACACAGTTATCAATGTTGACGCCCTGAAACGTAGACCTCTTTTCTTGTTATTTTAGTTTTTCGCTTGATTAAAGACAAATCCAAAGCGGTGCTACGCCATGAGTTCAGCTATAAAAAGGGGAATAAATTTCTCTTTTTAAATGTATTTAAGAGTCGTTCATATTACAGCCTATATTATGTATTCTTATTACGCCGGAAACAAAGGTTTAGATAAAAATACCGGAAAAAAGTTTTAAAATAAAAGTTCAAATACTGACATCCAAACTTTAAGTTTTCAGAATAAAAAAGTAATCAATATATTAAAATTTTGTGTCTTTTTTAAGAGTCAATAATTCATCATTTCAAGATCATGTTCAAAAAGGTAAATTATTAAATTAGGGATCATTTCCATCGCAATCGAACATTTTTAAATTTTTGTATTGATTTATTCATCTTGAAATTCTTTTTATCTTAAAAAAAAGTCCATGTGATATCTTGGATGAATTAGGCTCCTTAACCTTTATATATTTGACATGTGTCTTTCTATGAGCAATACCTGCTTTGCCTTAGTCCATAGCACTAAGTTCACTCCTATTTCTAAAATTGACCTTAGATGAGTACGGCTATTTTTTTAGGTCCCTTTTAGTTTATTATATTATTTATTTACTTGTTTCTCAGTACTAAGTGTTCTTGCGTTTATTTGTACTGTATTTCTGTCACGTAATATTGTCATTTTAGCGGTATTTTTAACATTGCCATATAAGCGGGAGGTTTGGCTAGCCATAAAACCAGGTTCAACCCACCATTTTTGTCTTAAAATGTCCTGTAACAAGTCAGGAATATGGCAGTTGTTATCAAATAGTCCGTTTCTATTTATATTGGCGTTAGTTTTTGTTGCTGTTCAGTGTTTCTGTTGTTCCGTTGTTTTCCTCTCATAGTTGATGAGTTTCCCTCGGTTTTGGTTTGTGACCTGGATTTGTTTTCGCTTAATCGATTTATGACTATTGAACAGCGGAATACTACTGTTGCCTTTATTGGTCAAATAGCTCTTCACGTTTTAAGGTCTTATACATCAGTCGCTGTTTGGAATACTTTGAGTCTCCTCTAAGATTCAATGAGTCATCATTTCAAGATCATGTTCAAAATGGTATATTAGTATGTTAGGAATTCTTTCCTTTGCAATCGAAAATTTAAAATTTTCGCCATTGTAGTATGTTTAGTTAGTTGTTTGTCTTTTATTCTATACCCTGTCAGCGACGGTTGTCTTCTTTCTTTCAGCCGCGGTATAGCCTTTGCCCCCGTCTCAACCCTGGTATAGTCTGTTTTGTTTCTTTCAGCCACGGTATAGTCTGTCTTTTTACTTTTAAGAGAGGTATATCTGTCATTTTCCTTTCAGCCCCGGTAGAGTTTGTCTATTTCAAAATAATCCGAAGGGCAATATAAAAATAAGAAGATGAGGTATAATTGCCAATGAGACAATTATCCACCATAGTTCAAATGAAGTGGATGTAAGCAATTATAGGTATCCGTACGGCCTTCAACAATGAGAAAAACCCATACCGTGTAGTCGGCTATAAAAGGCCCCGACATAAATAATATGAAACAATTCGATTGAGAAAAACTAACGGCCAAATTTATAACAAAACAATTTAAGAAAAACAAATATGACCGACATGAACCAACGACAATCACTGAACTACAGGCTCCTGACTTGGGACAGGCACATAAAGAATGTGGCGGGGTTAAAAATGTATGTGAGCGCTCAACCATCCCCCTAACCATGGAGAGTGGTGAAACTGCACAACATAAGAACAAACTATAAAAATCAATTGAAAAGGCTTAATTCAACAGATTGATATAAAGCAGAACAATCAAACAAAAACACACCGGACGTGGCAGGTTATTTGTCCATCCCTCATCCCTAACAACAAAAAGGACATTAAGTACAGATCTTAGAGTACTCGCAGTTACTGAAAGCCAATAACAATTAATAAAAAAAAACATGTATCTAAGCAAGTCCATTAAAAAGTTAAATCACAAAAATACTGAACTCCGAAGAAAATCCATAACGGAAAGTCCCTAATCAAATGGCAAAATCAAAACAAAAACACATCAACAACTGTCATATTCCTGACTTGGTACAGGCATTTTCGTATGTAGAAAATGGTGGATTGAACCTGGTTTTATAGCGCTGGTTTTAAAACACACACTGTAAACAAGTGGTAAATTCCTGACTTGGTACAGCCATTTTCGAAAAAAAATGGTGTGGGAAACCTGGTTTCACAGCTACCTAATACAAAAATATTTCCATTCGTTGTGGATGAACTTTTATACCAATTATCCTTTAGATTCAGGAACATTAAACAGTTGCTCTATACAGCGATATGTAAAAGTAATGTTTCATTCATTTATCAACTTATAAGAATATTAAACCTCTGTTTATTTCAGCGGAACTTAAGGAGTGGTATCTTACTCTCTATGGAACATCATCAAATCCTATGAAATTATAAAAACCTGTCTATCAAGGTAACTATCTTACTCTGTATGGAATATCATCAAATCCAATTAAAGGATAAAAAACCTGTCAAGCAAAGTAAAACTATCTTACTCTGTATGGAACATCATCGAATCCAATGAAAGGATAAAAACCTGTCTATCAAGGTAAAACTATCGTACTCCCTATGGAACATCATCAAATCCAATGAAAGGATAAAAACCTGTCGATCAAGGTTAAACTATCGTACTCTCTATGAAACATCATCAAATCCAATGAAAGGATAAAAACCTGTCTATCAAGGTAAAACTATCTTTACTCTCTATGGAACATCATCAAATCCTATGAAAGAAAAAAATCCTGTCAAGCAAGGTAAAACTATCTTACTCTGTATGGAACATCATCGAATCCAATGAAAGGATAAAAACCTGTCAAGCAAGGTAATACTATCTTACTCCCTATGGAACATCATCAAATCCAATGAAAGGATAAAAACCTGTCAAGCAAGGTTAAACTATCTTACTCTGTATGGAACATCATCAAATCCAATGAAAGGATAAAACCCTGTCTATCAAGGTAAAACTATCGTCGTTGCATGTATTAGTCTTCTTTGAATGTACCTTATAAGAAAAGTATGGTTATAGTAAAAGTATGCTAAAAGGTATTTTGTTATTTATATATCAAGCCAATCACATTGGTGACGGTTTGAGGGATAATTGACAGTTATAACCATATGAAAAATTCTAATATGACGTGCTTCTTTCGCTTTGTAAACAACACCGTAATAAAATTCTCGATATATCTATACTTAGCGCAGACTCAGAGAGATACATAATATATACCTCCCACGTAAATCCACATGTATCAGAACCTGTTTACAAATTTATGTCGATATTTTGTTTTAAAAACTGAAATTGAAATAAGACTACTCGAAATAACAAATAGAATTAATGCACAAGAGATCGGAGAAATCTACAAATCAAAATCAAATAAAATTCCGCGAAAGTTCATGAATGCTTTTGGCGCATTTTAGTCATTTCAAAACATGACGTCATACAAATGAAAACGCTAAAGCTGAAGGTTTTTCCGTTACGTAAACCATTGAAATTCGTAAACTATTACATTAAAATGATTCTTTGAGGTAGGTGTTGTTTTATCTTCTATTCTAATGCATTATTCGCATATTTACTGATTTCAGCAAGTCAACATGGCGGCTCCTTAGTAACGAAATGTCATCTTTGGATTTGACCGTAGTTTACGAGAAACACATGTAGATTAAAAATGGCAAATGTTCGGTTTGAGAATTAAAAGAATAAATTTCATTTTTTCTAGCGGTTATTTACGAAATAAATCATGCAATCTACAGATTTATTAGAAAGTTTAAGCTTTATCTAACAGGGAGTAATTTGTCCTATTAGAATCGAAATAATTCATGGAAGCCATAGATTTGTTGTAAATTTACACATGGCCTTGGCCGTGTAAATTTGCAACAAATCTATGGCTTTCATGAATTATTTCTTAAATGAATTTGATTCGAATTGTTGGTTATACATATATAGAAAGGGACACTTTATGAATTATGTGGGTTTCACTTAGAATTATTATTTTTGATTATCCCTTGGTATCTTCCGCCTCTTTTTCATCCAAAGTCCCTCGGAGTTCACTGCCTGCCATTCCGTCAGTGCTTTTTCATTTAGGTTTTATATTCACACTTTCCTAATTCAATTAATCTGCCTATACATAATAGAATTGAATGAATATTCAGGTTCCACTACCATCGAGACCCTGAGTTCGTCTCCCGTTTTTATAAGCCGGGAATCGTAGACATGAAGCTTAGTGTATTGTACACTGCTGTTGCCCCCTTTTTTTTTTGGTCGTAGCGTTGTCTTTGAGTTTCTCTTCTATCTCTGGCTGGGTACACCAAAATCTTTAGAATCATTGGTAGTAAATACTTCTCCTACAAAAGGCGACTTTTATGAGTAGATGAATTTATAACTAGTCGGCCCGGCGTTCGATTGTTTTTATGTACAATCAAGTGTGTCTTGCAAGATATTAAGTTCTTTTGTTTTAACAAAACACTTCAACAGAGAACTACCTTAAAAACAAATCGTTTGAAATGCCATATTTAAATAAAAGGCGAAAGTTATACCAAGGGGATGGTCAAAACTCAAAAGTCACAGAAAAACTCAAAACACCATGGCAAAAAGAAAACAAAACGACGAATACATAAAGACACTACATAGAAAACTAAAGATTGGGTAACACGAACACCACAAAAACCAGGGGTGGACTCATTAGTTCCAGAAAAAGGGTAAGAATTTCCTGCTCCACATGTGGCACCTGTCGTGTTGATCATGTAAGTAATAATCAAGTAATGAGTCTCATTCAGTGACGCAATCGAAGAAAAGAGGACGGGATAAATAAATAGCATTCTTTTTTTGACGTAATCATAGCCGTTTTCAAAATGATTTTAAGCGATAAAAGACAAAAATAAATACAATTTCACACCAGCGTTTCTACCTTTATCATAGAATAAGAATAAAAGCGATTTGAAAGCAAAGACTGCGTGCTTCCTGGAATTGAATACCTTTAGGGATTAAGCATCGCTAATCATTTATTCGAGAATCTTGATTGTCTAAACTCAGTACTATGATTTCCAGTACATGATCCTAAAACGAGTTTCAGTTAAAATTGGATTATGTATATACATATATTTCTTCTTTATTTCATTTCAGGTATATCTGTCAACTTTGTTATAGTGGAACAATGGTCAAAATAGACATTACTATCATTTGTATATCAAAAATTAATTTGTCATATTTTTTTCTTGATTAAAAAAATGTTGTATGTATTTCGTATGACATGTATGCAAATTGACAACCTTTATGAGTAATATTTGTGAAATCAACTTTTGTTTGATGCACAACTCTTTGTAAATATTTATAAAAATCTTGTTCTTCAATTTCCGGAAGTATGTTGAGTTACTCCCCTTATTTCACAATATTTAGAATAAGACGTGTCCAAATACTATGTCTTAGTTTGATGAAAAAAGGTTTTACTTTGATTGCTTATTTCCTCGTCATTTGTCCTCTGGTGGATAGTTGTCTCATTTGCAATCATATCCCATCTCCTTATTTTCATTATACTTTTCAAATAAATAACGGATACGGGAAAAATGTAAGTGTAGGTAAAGCAGTAACATGCTTTGAATCCTGTTAAAGAACAAAACTTTTAATTCTTTTCTCTGTTCCTAATCCTGAAAATCTGTGACAGCAAACTTGGTTTCACTTCACGAATATTACGGTGTTAAAGTTAGATATTTTCATATATACAATTTTTGTAATGAAAAACAGAAATTGGATGCAATTTTCCCCACACCGTAAGGTAGAAATATTTACAAACTTTCTATAATTTTTTTTTTATATTATTCATGTTTTTACATATGATACAAATACGTCCTTTAATGAAATTTAGAAATCGAACAATTCATAAGACCCCCCCCCCCCCCACCCACTATCCCCTCCAAGAAAAGAAAGAAGAAAACATGCTTTATAGGTTGGTAGAGTGTGGTAAGGAGATAGCAACGAATAACACACAAGATAACAATAAACAGCCTTTCACAATAAGCAAGTGTTAACCCAATATCATAAGCTTTACTCATCTAAGATGACAATAGTTACAGCTGCACGTGGACACATTTAACAAAACTTACCATCGCGGATGGGTTTCCTTGCTTTGGACAGGCATATAAATATACATTGAATACTAATATGTTATTGATACTATATTTAATTGTAAAAAAAAACGCACAAAAATTAAATTAAAAAGCATAGTGTGACGAACTTTAGAGAAATAGAATGTTTTTATTACATTTCCTCGTTCAGGTCTGAGTTTTGTCACCAGAACATTTATTTTTCATTTAAATATTATAATTAGTTTTTTTCATATCAATTCTTTTAATCGTCATTTGATCGTTTTTTCTCTTTTTTTTTTGCCATGGGGTTGTCAGTTTTTTATCGACATGTAAGTTTGAATATCCCTTTGGTATCTTCCGCTTCTCTTTTCACTGATTTATTTCGTGCTTTGAGCAACATGAAGAGCTAAATATTTGAGTAGAATAGAATTACCCTTATGGAGCACCCGAGATCATTCCTGGATCCTCGATCCTTGGCTGTTTTATAGTTTGTTTTTCTGATTAATGTTTTGTCAACTGTTGTTTAGTTTAAACCAGGTTTATTCCACCGTTTTCTACATAAGGAAATATGCCTGTACAAAGTTAGGTATATGCCAATTGTTTTCGATTCGTTTGATGTGTTTGAGCTTTTGATTTTGCCATATCACAAGGAACTTTTTGTTTTGAATTTTCCTTGGAGCTCGGTATTTTTGTTATTTTACTTTTTAGTGATGATGATTTTTAAACTTATGTTTAATTAAAGGTCCCCTTGATGTTTTTGTCACCTTTGTTTTTCTGTTGCATTCACAACTTGTCCATGATTTAAGACGATATATTGAGATTTAAATTTCATTAGTATTGACTTCTGTTGATGTTGTCTCATTGCTTTAGCTCCTAATGTAATTGTACTTTGTCTATTAAATGTGTGCCAATAAATCATTTTGAATTGTTATGTCAGCATGGTCAGAGATTTCATTGAATGGGAAAGTGCTGCCTTTTCCAAGAAAAATTAAAATAAACATTTTCATCAACTAGGGATGGTTGCATATAATTTCCCATTCATGAAAACTTCTCCTTTGCTAAAATCAAGGATTTTTTTTAGAAGCTTCACTAATACTAATAATCAAAATCCTTCTCGACATGTGTGAGGGCAACATGCACAAATTCTTCCATGAATAACCATCAAACCATATACTTATAAAGATTGACATTCACGAAAGTGGAAAATGATATTTCTCTTTTCATATCAAAATGTGAAGTGATTGTTAGTGGTGACTTTGATGCACGCACAGGAGGGTTAAATGATTATAATCAGAATGAGATTCTGTTAACGACAATTTCACAGGAGAGTTAAATGATTATATTCAGATGATACTGTTAACGACAATTTCATAGGAGGGTTAAATGATAATATTCAGAATGATTCTGTTAACGACAACTTCACAGGAGGGTTAAATGATTATATTCAGAATGATCCTGTTAACGACAACGTCACAGGAGGGTTAAATGATTATATTCAAAAAGATTCTGTTAACGACAATTTCACAGGAGGGTTATTAATTAAAATGGTTATATTCAGAATGATACTGTTAACGTCAACTTCACAGACTGTCCAGTACCTGAAAATTATTTACCCTTAGAGAGAAATAGAATAGATCAAAAAACAAATTTATATGGGAATTTACTAATTAATTTTTGTAAGTCCTCCCGACTGAGAATAATGGATGGAAGATTTCTTGAAGACGCTCTCGGCTACTTCACTTTTTATAATAGTAATGGTTAGAGCACAGTAGATTATATGCTGACCTCACAGAACCAATTTTATACTGTCAAACCACATACAGAACTGTCAGATCATTGTTTAATTGCTTTAATTCTAAGTTATAAACACTCCCACAAGATAAAGGAGGAAGAGTTATGGTCCTTTCCTGTTACTTTTAAATGGACTTATCAGAGCAAGGACATTTATATTGAATCTTTATTACAAGAAATAGTCTAGAAGATTTTATCTTTAAACACATTAATTGCTGATAATAATTTTAATGATATAGACTTTTTAGTTAACAAACTAATGAAATTTATTTAGAAGCTACAAATAAGTCTTACTTTCAAAACAAGTTTTAAAAAAAACTGATTATGCAGAGACAAACAAAAAAGGCAAGACCTAAAAAAGTATGGATGTCAAATAACTGCTTACTCTTTAGAAAAGAAGTTCGACCTCTTGGAAACAGATTAGCTACAGCACCCAATAATAACGCCCTAAGATTAATTTATTGCAATTACAAAAGAGAATAAAATAAACTTAAAAATAAACTAAAAAACGATTTTTTTTTTCAATCCTTAATAAAACAAATATATGATATCAATCAAAAATACACCAAAGAATTCTGGGGAAGCATTAATAATTACCAAAAAAAAAGAAAAAAAAACACATAACTGTGAGTCTGGTATTTCAGCTAAAGAATGGGTGAATCTTTTTGAAATTTACTTGCCTCAAGTGAAAATGAGAAAACGGAAAACGGAAATTATTCATAACAAAGATGATAATGATCATAACTGTACTGATTCATCCCTTAATGCCCCTATTACACGTGAAGAAATAAAATACTGTATAAAAAAATTAGTTACGTTTTAGAAAAAAATGCAGAACTGTAGATCATGTTTTTCTTTTAAAAACACCAATAAACAAATACAAATGTATATGTTTAAATGTAAAAAGAAACTAAATGTGTGTTTCGTAGATTCAAAAGACTTTTGACAGTGTCTGGAGATCAGCTTCATTCTTTAAATTACAAGCTAGAGGAATTATTGGCAAATTTTATTTTTTATTTTGTTTTAATTAGCTGCTTGCTTAGTTTGTTTTAACAAGGGGAGAATCATATTCAAATGATTCTTAAGCACCGTCCCCTGGTGTCTTCTCCAGTTAAGCAATCATATAGACAGCCCCTGTTTATCTATTTTTGTATTACTTCTTGCTGGCTTTACTGGTTTAGGCATGGGGAGATTCATATGCGTATGATTCTTAGTTTAAACCTATTCATTTATAGTGGATTGGAAAATTGAAACCGGAAGTGAACGTCCCGTATTAGCCCATGGGCCAATACGGCTTTTTTCCGTATTGGCCCTGTTTTTTCCGTATTGTCCCTGTTCGAAAAGCAATATTAACTTTTGATTTATATCGACAGTGGAACGTTATCAGTATTGCACATGCTGATTTATCCGTATTAGGGCTGATTTGCTCATATCATTTAATAATGTATTGCATTGTACTCTAGTACATCATACTCTTGTAAATATCAGAATGTGTATAGTAAACCTTTTCTTGCTAATCAGGGAGACAAACAAGGCGACAGTTTAAGTCCTAATCTATTTGATATGTTTGTCGATGACATTGGAAAATACTTTGACACAAGATCAACAAGTCCATTCAGTTTACATGTTTATACCATTTATTATATGCTGATGATGAATTGTTAATATCTTAATCGGCCACTGGTCTTCAGAACTGTCTCGACTCCTTACAAAAAATAAAGTGCTGATTGGAAATTGGCTGTGAACTTTAAAAAAAATAATAAAAAATTATAGTTTTTAAAAAAAAAGAAAGAAAATTGTCATTGTTATACCTGTAATGCAATAAAAATTTCGGATTGTTATAAATACATAGGAGTTGATTTTCATAGTTTTGGAAAAGTTGCGCAAGCAGTGTCAAGGCTTTTAGAATAAAAAATAGCTAAAAAAAAAGCAATTACCCGTATACAAATCAATGGTAATTCCTATTTTAACTTATGGATCAGAAGCAGTCATGGGGTAATGCAAATTTGTAATGGTAATGCATGGTAATGCATTACATTTTTCCAAGTAATTGCATGTAATGTGTAATGCAGCAATTTTTGCATTACATGTAATTGTAATTTAATGCATTAATTTAGCAAAAAGTTGTGTAATTTCATGCATTCCATTGCATTACATGGCATTACTTTTTTCACATACTATATAGCTTTAACAGATTGTTGGAGATTAAACTAAAGCAGAATTTAAGATTTTTTGATTAATTAAGATCATAATCATTTAAATATTGATTTCTATTTATTTATTTTTCACACTTTACATAAATCACTAGAGGGAGTTTGGTGATTAAGCCTTGCCCCAGGTAGAACTTGAAAAGAAAAAAATAAAGTGGTATAAATACTAGAATGACCAAATTACA